CATTTTAATAGAGTGATCTGAGTTCCTTTGGGTATATTTCCAGTTAGGGGGACTGCAGGGTTGTATGGAAGGTCGATTTTTAGATCTTTTAGGAATTGCCAAACTGTTTTCCACAGAGGTCATACTAGTTACACTCCCACCAACAGTGTAGAAGTGCTCCCTTTCCCCCGCATCCTCTCCAGCATCTGTTGTTTTTTAAGTTATTGATGATGGTCATCCTGACTGGAGTTAGGTGGCATCGGGAAGACAGCCCACATACTGGGAAAAAATATTTGCCAACAGTATATCTGACAAAGTTCTAACATCTAGGATCTACAAGGAAATCAAATTCACCAAAAAACAAAACAAAACAAAACAACCTCATTACAAAGTGGGCAAACAATATGAATAGACACTTCTCAAAAGAAGACATATGAGAAGTCAACAGATATAAGAAAAAATGCCCAGCCTCACTAGTCATCAAATAAATGTAAATTAAATACACAATTTTTTAATCAATAAATTCTAGTTTTTTTGGGGGGGGGGTCCCCCTGTATACTGCACTATAATTTTCTTTAGCTAGAAAAAATATTCCATATATTTTGTCAAAATCCATAATACAGAAATTTCTTACTTTTTTTTGAGTGCCATCTTTCCCAAGCAAAACTCTATCATGTGGATGTTTTTCCACTAATGAAACAAATTCAGCCAAATTCAAAATACCTTTAAAAAATTTTTCTAGCAAATGTGCATCTATTTTTCTCTGGAGTCATTCATATATACTATAAATGATGAATATATGTGTTTAGCATTAGAAGAGATAATTTATTTCCCTTCCCAATTCTTAATAAAGAGTGTAATTAACACAGTGATAGTTAAAAGACTAGGAGCTATCACATGTCTAAGAGGAATTTATGGTAAAGTAAATAAAGGCAACCTGGTTAGCTCCCATGTTAGGATCCTAGGATCCTAGGGAGAAACACGTGAAGGTTGGGACAAGGGTCCTGCTTTCTGGGAGTTTCTGAGGGAGCTGCAGGACCCTTGCTTCTGTTTCTGATGGAAAATGAATCGGATTCCTCAGAAAAGCAGGTGTGATTCTCTTGAGGGCTCACTGTAGGGGCTGGGCCATGAAACCCTGTACATGCTCACCTCCACTGGGAAGGAGAGACAAAGCAATTGTCTTTTTCTATGTCTGTCCTCATCCCCAGCAGGACACACAATTAGAAAATACAGGTAACCACAGAGCACATCTCTGCGGTAACATCTCTCATTATAGTCCCTGAATACCTGCATGTCATGAATCCCTGCCATGTTCTTGTCCCCCAATTTCCAGATGGTTCAGTTGAACCTGTCAGGAAGCAGGGCTGGTGTGACAATGAATAAGCTCCTGGAGTGAACCTGTTTAGCTCAGCTTCTCCCTGATGTCATCTGGGTCCCTTGTGTTACAGCAGAAGTGGGAAGAAAGGGCTCTGAAAAATCAGCTCGTTCCGGCACTCCAAGGTGTGGAGATGTTGTGAGGAGCTGGTGAGTGAGGCAGAGAGCAGCTTGGGAAGCCCAAAGAGAAGCCAAGGTGTCTCAGTGAGGCCTATTAGAACTTGTCTCAAGGCATGAACCTCCAGTGTGAGTCCACTGTTGAAAATGTTCTCTATCGCCGGGCTCAGTGGCTCAGCCTGTAATCCCGCGCCTTTGGGAGGCTCAGGTGAGTGGATTGCCTGAGCCCGCGGGTTCGAGACCCGCCTGGGCAGCGAGACCTCATTTCTACAATAAATCAAAAAATCAGCCGGGCGTGTTAGCGCGTCCCTGTAATTCCGGCTACTTGGAAGGCTGAGGCGGAAGGATCGCTGGAGCCCAGCAGGTTGAGGCTGCGGTGGCCGGGAATGGCCACTGCACTCCAGTCTGGGCGACAGAGTGAGACTCCAACTCAAAAAAAAAAAAAAAGAAAATGTTCTCTTTCTGAATCTCTTTCTGAAGTGGGTGGATTCTGAGCTCAGTTCCTCTCTGGAGGAAAAGAAAGGACGCCCTCTAAGGTAGTGTCCTCTAGTAGCTTCCAACCTCACTTGGAATAGATTTGTTACTTAAGGTGATGTCATACGCTTTTGTATTTTGCTGCCTTTTTTTTTCCTGGAATAATGCACTCAAAGTGTTATTTGAAAATCTCATATCACTCAATCATACAATTAAAACACTAATTAGTTCCTTACAGTGTGACCTCTGCCTTGTTGGGGTTATGGCATAAACACAGTGTGACCTCTGTCATGTTGGGGTTATGGCGTAAACTTGGGGGCATATCTGGCACAATTATTAAATTTTGAGAACATGCCCATCTATGCTCTACTCTACACATCCACTGTGAGGAGAAACACATATTTAGGGACACCAAAAATGATTTCTGATCATATGAAAATCTTTTTGCATAGTAGGTCATCTATAATTATAGAAACCTTTCCTCTTCTTTTTATGTCCCAGGTGTCCTGCAGAAAGTTTGGAAATCAGTAAACTGACATACAACAGAAAAATTTAGTAGCAAACTAAAGCAGTTGTTTTAGGACATAGATCTACATTCAACACCATGTGATGCTCAGTTATGAAAATTTATTTTAAGGTATAGAAGCAAATTCTTTGGACTAACACAATAAGAAATTAAATATAAATATTTATGACCGAATGTAAACAGGAAAATCATCATCTCAAAATTACATGTTTTCTATGGCATATCAAGCAGCCACAGCTTTTAACTGTGTAGGTGGTACATAATGACTTTTTTTTAGATTTCTATGAGGAATTTGGTTTTATCTTTGAAACACTGAGACACAAAGTTGGATTGATTCAAACAAAGTAAAGTGTGTATAGAATCATATGTTTTAAATTTCACATTTAGAAGATTGTGAAATTGAATGAAGATATCTCCCAAGGCTTATCTAGGAATGCTGACTCGTGGTAAAGGAGAGGGTTGAATTTATTATCTGTAGATGACTCACCATTGAAGAGTAGAGACAGCGACTCTCACTCTTTGTACCCAAATAGAGCACAGATTCTCACAGGTTGATCTAGGGTATTGTGCTCATACTCCTCTTAGAAGTTCATCTTGCAGGGTGAAGATATAATTATTCTGCCAAGCAGGTAGCTGCAGGAAATATTTACAATGAGTCAATCAAGATCTTCCATTTCAATAAATAGTTAAGTGCTACAAAAAATTTTTATGTGATCAAAAATGTTTTGGAAACATTGACTAAAATCTGTAATAGACATCTCCTTTCCTAAAGGAATCTTTACAGCATTCACTATACTATTACGAGCCCTAAAGTGAGGCATCTAATATGTAATTCTCCAACTTATTTGACCAAATAAGTATCTTTAAAGTCTCCTGGAGGGACTGGTGTTTTGAGAAAAACATTGGAAATATGGGGCTGAGTCACAGCTTGATGAGGATGTGATAAAAGGTATTGTCCTGGTGTGGACTAGCTACTCTGCTACTCTACTATTTGAAAACATACATTTCCAGAATTCATCCCACATCTACTTAATCAGCCATCTAGTGGTAGGGCAGGAGATAACTCTATTTTATTTTATTTTATCTTATTTTATTTTTGAGTTGGAGTCTCACTCAGTTGCCCAGACTGGAGTGCAGTGGCCGTTCTCGACCACCGCAGCCTCGACCTGCTGGGTTCCGGTGATTCTTCCACCTCAGCCTTCCAAGTAGCTGGAACTACAGGTGTGTGCTACCACGCCTGGCTAATTTTTTGATTTATTGTAGAGATGAGGTCTCGCCAAGCTGCTCAGGTGGGTCTCGAACCCGCGGGCTCAGGCAATCTACTCACCTCAGCCTCCCAAGGCACGGGAAGCATCTCAGGCAATTCTCAAGCTGATTTGGGTTAGAAGCCACAGCCCATGCCATTAGAGATAAGATTAACAAGTGGAACCCGATCAAACTGAAAAGCTTCCACAAAGCAAAAGAACATCAAGGGGGTGGGGAGATAGCTCACAGAATGGGAGAAAATATTTGTCAACTACATATCTGACAAAGGCCTAACATCCAGCATCTACAAGGAACTCAAACGTGCCGAAAGAAAAAAACCAAACAATCCTATTAAAAAGTGGGCAAAAGGCATGAATAGACACTTCACAAAGGAAGATATACAAGTAGCCAACAGACACATGAAAAAATGCTCACTGATCATCAGAGAAATGCAAATCAAAACCACATTGAAATACCACAACTCCAGGAAGAATGGCCATCATTTTTTATTTTATTAAAATAAAAAACAACAGATGCTGGCGAGGATGCAGAGGAAAGGGAACATTTCCACACTGTTGGTGGGAATGCAAACTAGTTCAACCTCTGTGGAAAACAGCGTGGTGATTTCTAAAAGAACTAGAAATTGACCTTTCATATGACCCAGGCATCTCCTTTCTGGGAATATACTCAGAGGAACTTAAATCACTTTTCAAAAAAGATACCTGCACATGCATGTTTATTGTGGCACTATTTACAATAGCAAAAACATGGAACCAACTGTACTGTTCATTGAAATTGGACTGTATTAAAAAAACGTGGTACATATATGTATACATGATGGAATAGTATGCAGTCATAAAGAACAACAAAATTATAGATTTTGTAGCAACTTGGATGGATTTAGAGTCTATAATACTCAGTGATTTATCACAGAAACAAAGAACTGAGTACCACATGTTCTTACTCATAAGTGGACCCTGAACATTTACCATAATACTATAAGAAAGGGATTGGCAGTAGTTGGAAACTGCCAGGGGAGAGGAGAGGCACATAACATTAATAGGAGTGCCTAATCTCAAACCAAGCAAAGTGGGGACTGAAGGGAGGCCAAAACTTTACCTGTACAATGACCACTTGTATACCTAATCCTAAATTGTACCCTACATCTTTAAAATAAAAAAATAAGCAGGTGATTCACACACACACACACACACACACACACACACACACACACGCAGAAATTATAACTTCCTAGATTGCTGTCAACTGTCATGCCATAATCTTTTCATGAAGCTCTTTCTGTTCCCAGTGCTCTCTTCAAGATATTTCTTCACTTCTGAGTTCCTAAGACCTAAGGTCAGGGGGTTGAGCATGGGATTGAAAAGACTATAAAACAGCAGGAGATATTTCTTCTGCTCCTCAGGGTTCTCATATCTGGGTCCAACATACATGATAATGACTGTGTCATAGAAAAGTCCAACCACACAGAGATGGGAGGAACAGGTGGAGAAGGTTTTTCTTCCTCTGACTGGATTCTAAAGTTGGCACAGAAGATGCACATATATGAAAACTACGATTAAGGATAGGGGTCCCACAAGCTCAGAAACGGAACCGGCCAAGATCATATTCACATTGATGTGGGTATATGCACAGGCAAGTTTGATAAATGCCATAATTTCACAGAAAAAGTGATTGATTTTCTGGGGTTTACAGAAGGGTAAATGTAGAAGTAACGCTAGGTGAATCAAAGATAGAAGAACTCCAGTGGTCCAGGAGGTTAGAGCTAGGGTGATACAGACTCTCCAACTCATGATGGCAGAATATCAAAGAGGGTGGCAGATGACCACATATTGATCATAGAACATCACCACTAGAAGGAGACATTCTGTGACAGCAAATGTCAGTAAGAGAAAGTCCTAAGTCATGTAGCCGGTAAAGGAGATTGGCTGGATTCAAGAGGTTCACCAGCATCTGGGGCACCATGTTGCAGGCACAGGTGATGTCGATGATGGCCAGTTATAATAGGAAGAAGTACATGGGGGTATGCAGTCTGAAGACGAGTGAGATGAGCCCCAGGATTATCCTGCTCCACAGCGGAGTGAAGACATAGAACAGGGAGAAAAGATCAAAGAGAAGCATCTGAATCCTTGGGCTGGTGGGAAATCCTTGTAGGGTAAACCCTGTGATGGCTGTCATATTGTCTCCCTTATTCCTATGACAGAGGAAATTGAGTTAATGCTCATGGTTTAAGAGAAGTGTCTAAAAACAGATTTATTTTAACTTATTTGATACCATCTTACGGGAGTAGAAAAATGTTCAGTGACAGCTGTATTGAATTTTCGTGTTTTTAAAGGAGTGTTTATAGACCATTTGGTAACTCTAAAATAGATTTTAAGCATTTATACAGTTACTTACTTGACTTGTCTCCATGTGATACCTTTAGCCTTTTAAAAGATACAGTGATGGCATTTTTTTGCTACTGTTAAATGTTTACTAGAGCCACTTGCACACACATCTCTCTTCACCTTAAAAAATAGCTACTAGTTTAAAATAACCATTAATATATTGATTATATTAATACTTTAATTATGTATTAACACAGATTATGCTATTATCTAAAACTATCAAGGAGCAGAATTTGAGTATTAAGATAATACAGATGTACTTTTGCATGATATTAAAGTGTGACAGTAAAAACTAACAAACAATGAAAATGGTGTTAAATTGTTTTTGGCAAGAACTCACAAAGACAGTTAGGAAATTGCTGTGTCTAGAGATGATTGTTATATAAGGACCTTGAAAATCTTCCCTCAGAAAAAGCAAACATTTCTGCAGTGTGGCTGAATTTGCTGATGATGCTGAAAACCTTGCTGCTTGTCTGAGAACTGCCAAGGAAAAATCTTGGCTCTTCAAGTTGCCTTTGAGAAGGAAAGGCTTTATTAATTCATCACCTCCACTGAGTATCTTCTCAATTGTCATGAGAGCATTGTGTGATTCACGAGAAAATAGGCCTCACTTGCACCAATGTGGTTTCTATAGAGACATGAAGAACTCAACCATTGTTTTTCTGCTGGCAGACAAAAAAATGAGCCTCTATCAATTTCTTTCTCTGAGGAAACCACGTAGATAGTGAGATCAAGGTTAAGGCAAGAACAGGAAATGTCTTCATAGCTAAAAGTGGTCTGATATATATATCTATATATATATCTATATATATATCTGATATATATATCTATAAAGTCATACTTCTGGACCACATGGCTATTACAACTGTCCAAATATGAGAATTTGTTATAGTTTCATAAAATTTTATGTTGTTACAGTCCCCAAACTTTCAAGAGGCACTTGGGAGACACAAAGATCCATGCCAGTGTTTGTTTGACAGTGAAATAAAGTCTTGACATTAATTCCTGTGGTCCTATTTCCTTTAGTGCAATCTGGCTTCTTAACTACTCTGAAGACTGGTAGGAGAAACAATTTGAATTCCAATGTCTTAATCATTAGATCATTTTATCCTTGAGTACAGATCTAGAGATGTGTGAGTATTCATGTTAGACAAGTCCTGGGGTTTGTTGACCTGTCTGGTAGAAGAATAGATAATGCACAATTTCTACTTTTGAAAAATTTCCCTTTTTGATCAAATCTAGTTCTGCCCTCGTGGGAAAGATAGAGTTCTGTAAAAGCAGAGGGCCAGCTCCTGATTTCTCCACCATTATGGAGAATGAATCTGAGGAGTCATAGCAACCATCTTTTCTATAAAGGATATGGTATATCTTAGGAAAAAAGGAAATTGTGGTCTTCTACCATTAAGTATGGGAATGAATCCATGTATCCTACTTATCAGAATAGATTTACCCTCATGGATTCCCTTTAAGGCTGCACACCTAAATGATTGATATATTGTACTAATATATTTAGCAAATTATCCTTGTACCAGGCCTGGATTGTTTGTTAAATGGTCAGCTGGCTGGAAGGAACCCCTAGGAGACTGTACATATAAGCTGAAGGAGAGTGATATAGGTGATATGGATAGCTGAGTCAACTGTCATTACACTTATTTTTATCTTTTGCCTTTGCTCTTGCCCTAAAATATACAGCATTCTTTGTAGAATAGATGGTTGTTGTGACCATTCAGTATGATTACTTGGCGGTTCTGGCAGCATTTCAGCTCAAGATGGGCAACTTTGGATTTATAGTTAATTGATGAGCTATTATATATCTCTGCCAAGATTTATTAATATGGAAGGTGTTGTATTTTGAAAAGTGTATTATTTTAAGGAAAGGTGTTGCAGCAAAACCTCAACTAACTGTCCTGTAGTTCACATATTGGAGCTTGCCAAACACTCCACATGACATATTTATCTACCAGGTCTTCCTCCAAATTCACGTAGCCTGCTGACCAAATGGCCCAAGTGTTATAATTATAGATTTTAAGTGTATAGCTCAAGAATTTTTGCCTATTAATACACCTGCTCAAGGTACTGAACATCTCTGCAACAGAAAATGCCATTCTATATCCCTCTTACTGCCAGAAAATACTTCCCTACCTAGGTAACCACTATTTTGACTTTTATCACAACAGTCTAGCTTTAACTATTTTGAATTTCATAAATAAATTATATAGATATACATTTTTGTGTCTAGTTTTTTCTTGTAGGGATCATGCTTTTGGTCTTGAGTTTAAAGCTTTTCATCTGTCTTAATATCCTGAATATGCTTTTCTATGTTTTTTTCTGAAAGTATTCTATTTTTATATTTTACATTTAAACATGTGATTCATTTTTAGTTAACTTTTGCATAGTATGTGAGATTTAAATCAATATGTATTTTTGTGTCTATGGCTGTTCAATTGCTCCAACACCATTTGTTGAAAAACTATTATTTCCTTGATGGACTTGCTTTTGCCCTTTTGCCAAAACTTAGAAATAAGTAAAAATAGCAGAGTAAGAACCTCAGAAAATTTACTCATCCATAAAAGGAACCAAAGCTCCTGGCAAAAAACTTGTTAGAGTCAGTCAGCTTTTTCAGAACTCTGGTAATTAACCAAAGGTTTAAATTATATTGATGAGCATATATTCAAGAAATACACCTAAATTTCAGTTAAGACAGTGACCTTTGTAACATTTAAATTTTCCCAAGTACTATTTCTGGCTCCTCAGTTCTGTGGAAGTTTTGAAAAATAACAGCCTATATTCACAGTATGCCCTGGCATTGAACTTGCGCAATGCAAAAATTCTTCTCTGTTTGGGGACATTGTTGAACACAAATAAAGGTTAGTGTTTTAATTTTGTGACTCTCTGAGATGGTGACAACCGTCTAACCTAAAAACTTAAAAGGAAAACTGGAGAATGAATGTCTATTGTAGCTTTTAAAATCTGACAAATTTCTGATAATCTAGAAGGCCTTTTGCTTGCTTAGAGCTGTGCACTCACACAGGTTTGTGTACATGTTCAGTAAAGAGCTGAGAAAGCTATGAGTTCTTACTCTGGTTCACTTTAAGGCTCTACCCAAGCAGGAAGTGAAGATTAAGGCAGAGTTGTCAACTGTCTAGTGAATGCTGAAGCCATGGCCCAACATGCACACAGAATTTCTTAGCAAAGCCTAGAAAATTTATTGGTTCTCTGCATTTAAGCAAATTTCTTTATTTGACCACTAAGATAACTGAGTACAGACTTCATTGGCCACACATAATAAAGAAAACAAACTCTGAAGAATTAGTTCATAAAATTCACTAAACAAATAGCAGCAGCTACAAGCTGCATTAACAAAAAGTCCCGAGGATAAGGGAGAATATTATTTCCATATTAGGTTATTTAAAATGTCCCATTATCAACTAAGCATTATGAGACATTTAAAATAACAAGAAAGGAAACAAAGAAAAATAAATCAATAAAGATTGCCTCTGAGAAAACTCAGATGTTGAACTTCATAGTCAAATACAAGGGGAAACCCCCAAAACACAGAGCTTATTTATAAAAACTTGTATATTTATTCCTAGATGTTTAAACTTCAGTCACCTTCAAAGTGCTCTCCATTTGATGCAAAACACCTACTGAGATGCTTTTCCCGTTGCTCAAAACAGTCTTTGAGCTCATCAATTCTGATGCCTTTTATTGCTTCTGCCATTTTTTGTTTCACTTCTTTCACATCTGCAAAATGTTTCCCTTTTTCATCTGGAGAAACAAAAAAAAGTTGCTCACGTGAGATTGGGTGAATAGGGAGGGTAGGCTTGGGAGTCATGCCATTTTTGGTAAAAAACTACTAAACACTCAGCATGGTGCTTGCAGGTACATTGTTACAGTGGAAGAACCAGTCACCTGCTTGCCACAACTCAGGATGTTTCTTCCACAAATCATCATGCAAACTTCTCAAAACTTCCAGATAAAACTTTGGTGACCATTTGATCTGGAGAAGCAAATTTTGAATGTATTATGAAGGATCTGCCTACCAAAAGATAATTCAAATTTTTGGGGGCTCCCTCATTGTATTTTAAATTGGCTACTTAAAATATGTCCAAAAAGCTAGAGGAAACCATGCCCAACAAACTAAAGGAAAATATAAAAATGATGTTTTACTAAATATACCATATAAATTATTATAAAACTCAAATAGAAATCTGGATTTGAAAAGTACAGTAAATAAAATAAAAAATTAACTAGAGAGGCTTAATAGCACAGTTGAGATGGAGCAAAAAATATCATCACATTTGAAGACAGGTTAGTTGAGATTATTCAGTCTGAGGAGCATACAAAAATAATGAAAAAAGTTAACATGATTTTTAAAATCTCTGGAATATCCTCAAGCATACCAACGTAGGCTTAATGGGAATCCCAAGAGGAGGAGTGAGACAGTGACAGGAAGACTATTTGGAAAATAATGGCTGAAGACTCTCCAAATTTGATGAAAAATGTTGATCCACACACCAAAGAAATTCCAAGTAGGATAAACTCAAAGAGATCCACTATGGACACATCAAAACCCAAACCAGAAAGACTTGTATATCAATTTGCACAAAATTATTATCTTTATTATTTTGAATTCACCAATCCATAGTCATGATATATTTCCCCATTTATTTAGATCTTGGTTTCTTAGTATGAACTCCTGTGTACAAATAAACTAGAAAACCTAACATCACACAGCCTCCCAAGATTGAACTAGAAGAAACTGAAACTCTAAACAGACCAACAATAATACAGGAAATCAATTCAG